AACTTGAGTAAAGGACCAAACCTGCGGTAAATGTATTTTCTGAAGTATTGTGGCAACTTTCAGAGGCGTACCAACATTACGTGGTAACAGTCTGAAGAGAGTAAGAACTTGTCCTCTTCCCACACAAACACGAAGACTGCCCTCCACTCCATTGGATTTTGGGTCCTAAAACTACATCTGTACAAAAGCTGAACGACACTCATATTCGAGAAAAAAAAAGAGAAGCAGCCAAGCTACTCCATCATTCTACTCAACTCCTCGATATAATCGAGCAGAGGTGGAAACCGCGAGTTTATCTCGAGAGGAAAAACGCACACGATAGATCCGCCCATCTTTGTAGAAACTACGAGAATCTGAAGGTGTACAAAATATGAAAATCCGCAAAACTTCACTAAGCTATTCTTTCATGCGCGTACCTTAGAAACAGTCAGCAAGGCAAGTAATGAATGTGGTAACAACCTCATATGGAGCACTTCACCGTTACAGCCAGAAAATATGCACCGTATCTTAAGTGAATTACGTAACCAGCATCACGGTAAATCGAAGTAAACGCGTCCAAGATGAGCACATACCCTTGCTTTTCCCATCCTGAACCTGCTGCGAGTATGCATTTCAAAGACAGATCCACCACTATCCAATGTAAGGATAGAGCGGCCATAGTCCAAATAAAGAACTTGTAGGACACCACGGCCTATTTGAACAGCTTCCCTTATTATCTCCTCTACAGTTCCACTCCTCACATTGATTACCTTAAAAAGGGAGCTATAGCGGCGATGTTAAGACTACGGATTACAAGCACTACCTTCACAAAACCTTTGCTATAGCCAACTGCTACGTACTTTCCACCCTCGGAAAATGCAACACATGACGCTGAACCATCAGACTCACCACCAGACCAAAATCGTTCCAAGCGTCCCTAGAGCAGAATCATCGTCAAAAAGTCTGATCGTAATTAAATGATTTACACCTCCGCATCAAATACAAGTAACGATCCTTTGCTTGTTGCCACTGCAGTAAGGCTACTACTATGCGCAACAGCTACGGCGGAGCCATTCTTCGCTCGGAAGGACATCAGCTGGTGTGATATGGACTCTGAATTAGTGACCAATATAGTGAAGACATCAGCAAGAATAATGAAAGTTCTAACCCATAAAAACCGATCACTAACTCCAACGGATTTACTACGTCGGTGACA